CAGCGGTTCTGGTGGCCCGCGATGATGAGAGACGCAAAGCTGTACGTGGAGATTTGTCAGGTCTGTCAGAGAGACAAGCCACGTACACAGGCTCCTCTTGGGCTTCTAAAGCCCCTTCCGATTCCGGAAAGGCCTGGAGGGAGCCTATCCATGGACTTCATGGATACGCTGGTCACCAGCAAGAGTGGTATGTGTTACGTCAATGTCATCGTGGATAGATTTAGTAAGTACGCTAGATTAGTCGCAATGCAAGTAACAGCTAAAACTGAGTATGTGATCAAGCTGTTCAAAGAGAACCGGGTCAGAGATTTCGGACTGCCTAAGTCTATAGTTAGTGACCGGGATGTGCGATTCACCAGTGAACTGTGGAACGCCGCAGCTGCAGAACAGGGCACGCAGTTGCAAATGACATCAGGCAATCACCCAGAGACGAATGGGCAGGCGTTGCAGTTGAACCGCGCTGTACAACCTGCTGAGGCATTACATCAAGCCAAATCAGGTAGACTGGGATGAGAAACTTGCTCTCATCGCCAGCCTGCACAACAACGTCATGCACAGCGCTACGGGAGTAAGCCCGAACAGCTTGCTACTGACTTTCAAGCCTAGATTACCCTTGGATTTCTTACTACCTGAGAACCAGCCCTCTGCTGCACTTGGGACCTTAGAGTTTGCTTATCGATATCAGCAGCTGATGCAGCGGGCTGTCGAACAGATGCACAAGGCACAGGCGGCGATGATAGAGTCTGAGAACAAACACTGCCGCCCATCCACATTTCAGGTAGGAGATAGAGTCTGGGTTAAGTCCTCAGAACTGGGACAGGAGCAAGGGATCTCCCGCAAGCTCATGCCGCAGTGCTTTGGACCATGGGAGATCCTAGATGTTGTTGGGGATGAACCGGATGGGCCGTCTTATGTCATTCGCATCCCTGGTCACTTACGCACTTACCTTGTTTTCCGCGCTTCCAAGTTTGCACCTTTCAAAGAAACAGACCAATTTCCCTCTCGATGCTCAATGCTGCCCCCAACCATGGATGGAGAGGTCGACATCGACGACATTGTTGACCATAGGGAAATGCCAGTTCCAAGGCCTGCAGGCAGGGGACGTCCTCCAAAACCGAAGCTGCAGTACAGAGTTCGGTTCAGACATCACACTGATCCAAAGGAGGATCGATGGTTCACCAGGGAGGAGCTGATGCAGACCGCTCCTCAGGTTGTCACCCAATATGAAAAGTCTCTGCAGAAGGGAAAGCGCCAGATCATTGAAGACTCAACTCACTCAGAGGACTATCCAAATATGGAGGAGGGAATGTGAGGCACAGGCCCTCGATTTGCCTTACAGGGCCTATTTTCCACTCAGTCGACCGCCCAAAGTGACGGCAGGCATGACCAAGGCCCCCAGGCCATTTTGGGGACACCACGCAACTGGGGGAAATTCAGGCAGTTGTGCAGCGCCAGTTGGTTGGAAGCGCCCAGGCCCAGGTTGCCTTACATTGCATGTAACTGAGGCAGGCCCTGGGCCGGATACACAAAGTGGACCGAATAAAGGCTGAGGGAAGTTGCGTGCTGGTAACCACCACAGGCCCTGGGCCTGTTTACTTCGGACTGAGGACTCAGGCTCGTGGGGCCTACCGGAAGCTTCTGGGCCAGGGCCCAGTACCGCATTACTGCACGCAGCAGCAGGCCACTTCGATATAGAGAAGGGCCTGCCTACGCATTGGTCATTCGGGCACTGGCTGCTTTGTGTGCAACCGCTGCTGCGCTATCGCCTGCCAGGCTCACGCGCTCACGGGAGAGCTGGAAGGAGCAGGCAGCCATAGCCGAGCTGCACTGCTGTACGCTGGATGGGGCGCATGGTGGTCCTTGGGTGCAAGTGGCATCTGTGAGTTGGGGAACGAGGTTGTGAGTGATACGAGAGACATACCTGGTGCTTGATGCGTGCGGCATTGGCCGAGGTCCGCTCGTACTTGGGAAGCTGTTGACGTCATCAACGGCATTGTAGTCTAGGCTAGATAGGATCTGCCATTTGTAGTCTGGGCGCCGAGCGCCAGATAGGATATCAACATTGGTTCTTCGTTGATGACGATGAGACTATTTCAGCATTGTCAATTATGAGCTTTTGGTGTGCTCTTATTTGGTGAAACTCGTGATGCAATTCTGCTTTTGGTTCGAGGTCACGACTATCTGGTCTCATGTGTATGATGCTGTTTGATTGCTGAAGTTCGCTATTGCTCATCTTCCTTGCACATATATATGTGACAATATATATATATATATATGATGTGACAATATATATATATATTGTCACAGCCCCTCGTTTGTTGTCCTCTTCTCTCTCTCTGCCTACGGTTTACCGGGCAGTTCTGTTTGTGACGATATATGCTACGACTTCGCTAGCTTCCTGCTACGGTTTTTTCCGGTCAGGTCGAGCGGCAGTGGTCGGGGC